CCAAATTGGAATGCCAAAGGTAAGTTAAGTCAAAGACTTGGCTACTTGAATATATAACCAATTGAACATAAAACTTGGACAATTGCTCTGGAATTGTACTTATGTTTGTGTGTTTTGTTTGTGTCTGCACCTTTCATTTAATTCATTTACATGATTCATTGCTTTCTGATTCCTTAGTCAGTAGATGCAGGTTATGAAAAGGAATACTCTCCTGCCAGGTTCCTACTGTGGATTCCTGTGTAATGGTGGTCTAACAAAGGCCTGGTTCCTTTTTTACCCAAAGGTTAATCAACTTACAGTACTTCCTTCCAGATTACCACCTCCTAGTGCTACCAATCAAAATGCACTCTGCTCCTCTTTCATGTTTCCTGCCTTGATGATTTTTTTGTGGAAAGAAAAAAAGATGAAAGAAATGACAAGGGGAAAAACACAGAAGGATAACAAATAGAAGATGATGTGTGTATCTGCCATGCCATGTGGGAGGTGGAGGCAGGGTACCGTGAAGCTCAATTTGGAATCCCTGGATTTATATCATCCGAGAACTACCATTAATAATCCTTGAAACAATCCATTGTTCTTTAGCAAGGTCTCAAATTAGGGAACTGTCAGAGTTTCATACTGGTAGACGTTAACTCTTTACAATTATAAGAGATCATTTATGCTCTCTTTAAAGTGCCTTCTTTTTACTTTGATAGCTAAATGATTTTGCAGGTTTTCACTCAATCAGTGCCTTTATCCTTATAGAATTGGAGAAATAGAATCTGTCCTTTAATGTGTATAGCGATCCCAGAAAGTTTGATTCTCCACTAAGAACTCTTTTTGAAGACTTAATGAAGACCCCTAATATCCTTTGTTTAAGGGATAATTTTATCCACATCACTAAAATGGCAGATACAATCTTGTTATCTTTAACATAAATTAAAGATTTGCCTCCTCTGTGAATTTATTTTATTTTATCTTAGAAACTCTTATTGTTGTTTGCCCCAAAGATGGCTGACTGCATTGAAGTTGGCTGACTGTAGCATCTTATTTCACAGCAAAAATAGGTGATTCACTGAGGGGACTTTTTTGCAGGAAATGGACATGAGGTTCTGGTCAGAATTGGATGTAAGTTCTGGATCAGCATCCCACACCTTCTTCTCTTCACATTAAATGTGGCTAGTTTAAGCTTGTGCTTTTAAAACAGTGTGAATAGCTTAATGCGTATAACACTTTGGTGTGTAAATAAATGATGGTCTGTCATAAGGAGGTTGCAAGACAAAAAGCACTTTAGCAACCACACTGGTTGGGTACAGAAAACAAATGTTCTCATGCTAACTGTAAGAAGAATCTCAAAAATCCACATGAGTGTAGTACTTTATTAGGCCAACTCAAAGATCTCAAAAGTATGCGAGCTTTCAAGATCTTCAGAACTCACAAAAACAGCCTGGCAAGGCTAGGGAGTGGGAGGCCTGCGGGACAGCTAACATTTTCTAGTCAGAATCTCCTTGATTATGTTTCAGGCTGCAGAGCGAAACCCACATAACTTTGATTAAGCCCCTTTGAACAATAGGCATGTATAGTACTGTACGGTAAGCTTCTGCTTGGATCCCATCCCTGGCTCTAAAATGTTCTGCTTCCACTCAGGAATTTGGAGTATTCACATATTGCACATAATGGTATGGTGTATTATTTATTTATTTATTTTTGGATTTATATCCTGCCTTTTTCCTACAAAGGGCTCAAGGCAGCTTACATCTCCTCCTCCATCTGATTCCCACAACAACAACCCTGTAAGGTAGGTTGGGCTGAGCATCTGTGACTGGCCCATAGTCACCCAGTTGGCTCCATGGCCGAGCGGAGACTCGAACACAGGTCGTCTGAGTCCCAGTCCCATGCTCTTCACCACTACGCCACACTGGCACTTTTTTCCATCCCTGAACTTCAGAACCACTGGAAGACATGTGACCAAATAGAAAGGGCGATTAACCTCAGAACCTGTTCATTTTCCTCTTTTACATTTGTTCTTTTCTGCCCTGCTCAGACATTGTAATGGTTCTAAATAGTCCCTGTTTCAGAGACAATTTTTGTGTATCTGCAGTCTACTGTTCTTTAAGCCCATAAG